TAAGCAAACTATATGTTATTTCTCCTAGTCTTTAGATTTATCCTCATTCCCCTGTTGTCTAAATAATTCCCTGAATATTGGCATGTTTCCAAAGTTCTGCACAGGCTTCTAATTTTTCCTTTATTTTTTTCTTGTTCTGTTTGTAAATTGTTTGATAATGCTGTTCAGCTGTCTTGTTCAACTTCTAATTGACTGTGTGCTCGTTTCACATATTCTTTCTTCTGTTGGAATGAGTTTAAAAAAATATTTCTAAGATGTTAAAATGAGATCAGTCCTAGCTTTAGGACTGATGGTTTCAAAACCACTTTCTTTGGTTTGGCAAACAGTGTTCACAGCTTGTGGGCAGTTTCTAGTACTTAAGCATTTTAATTCAAGTCAGTTTCAACTGCTGTCTTCATAACGCTTTCAGATGTTTTTCTAGAAATGCTTTATGTGCTAACTTTTGTTCAAATATTCAGCTATCATAACACGATTTTCTTCCTACTGTTGTTTTGCTGCTTGCTTTACCTAAAAAGAGCTGTGTTACCAAAGTAAATGTAAGTAAATGTTGTGACTTATTTCGAATTTCTGTATTCTAGGAAGAATTCTTCCCCTCAAGTTGTTTTTTTTTGCAGGGGTATATGAGTATGTTGTATTTGGGGGTTGTTAAAGAGCCCAGAAGCTAGAGGAAACTTCAAGAATGTATTTGAAGCCTATCCTGTCTCCTCCCATATTACAGTGTGTACGTTGAGCTCCTGTCCTCTGTAACTTCCCAGCTGGTTGGAAAGCTGTGTGTATGATCTTGTAGTGAACTTCATCACTACCTGAAGTGATTTGGTGCTGGGATTGTTGTCATAATTGCATGTATTTTTAGGCTGAATGATAGCTCAGTCTGGTGTGGGGGTTTTCATAATATTCTATTAAAATGGAGCAGTTGGACTGTCCGTCTTCTAAATGTGAAAGTCACATTGATACAAAAATACCTTGCTTGCAGATCAGTTTGTTTCAATGGGTATCTAACTCCCTAATGCATTTTTAATTTCAAAATGGTACTTAAATTTGACTGCAGTTTTGTACAGTCAGAAGTCTGACTTCTTGTTGGAATATGTTGCCCACTTTTTAACAAACATGTTGAATTATGTATTATAAGCCGAATCTTCCAGCCATTCTTGAAGTAAACCTGTACTGGGGTCTGTACTGTGGTGAGGGCTGTATGATTTGGTCTCTTCCTCCTATCTTGTATAATTACAACACAGTGGATTGGTAAAAGTACTGTACACTGTTACTGGTATTAGAACTGTTAATTAAAACATGTTCTCTCTAATGGAGTATACTGCACTTCATTGAAATCATTAGGATCCATCTTTTATGTAGAGGTGCTATTTGTGTTGATGGATGTGACTGAGAACAAACTGTATAAGATGTTAATGAAGCCATATGTACAAGGCCTGTGTATCTTAAATTTCATAAAGAAATACTGAACACTTACTCTTTGTGTTATGAAGTATAAGCCATTCATATTTAATATAAACATCTAAGATGTAATTTACTTAGTTTACTCATTCTATTTATGATAAAAAAATCTTAACTTTGGAAATTATTTCTGTAGTAAGGAAAATGTAAAATCCTTCCATTTTTATCATTGTGAAATAAATTTCAATCAGTGTTTGGGAAAGTACTACAGACTTTTTCCATACTTACCTGAAAGAAGTCAAGCTTTCATGTGCAGTTGAAATGGGCACTTTAGAGGCTTCTTGCAAATGTATTGCATGGTAATGTATGCATGATGCTATAATACAAAAGAACGATGATTTGTAGTTACTGAAAAGAAAAAAAAAATCACCAATTTATGTTTTGCTACCTTGTTGAGAGAATGCTAAGTATGACTTCATTTTTTTCATGTTCTGGGTTAATTTTATTTTAACTTGTTTTCTGGGAATTTGCAGTAATTTTGAAAGATAAAGGAAATTAAAATATTTTCTAGTAGCTTTATTCTAGGGCACTGAAGAGCCAAAGTCTTCTCACTGTGTACTGCCGCACCTTTCTCTGGGGGTTCTGCGGTGTCGGGGAGCCTTTGAAGTTATATTAGGCATAGCATACGTACCACTTAACATATTTGTTAAAGAAGCAGTTTTCAGGTCAGGGGTTACATGTGCTCTTTAGGCTAACTGTAATATTTGAGGCTGATCAGTGGTGCACGTAGTGTGGGGCACTCTAGAGAAAACTTGAGATTATCTGGGAAGAGATGCTGAAGAAACTTGAGAGGCAATGGGGTGTACAGGTAGTAAAGGCAGACCTTCCCCCTCAAGCAGTTTAAAGCAGCTATAAAAGGCTGCTTGTCTCCGTAGACTGTGATGTCTAAAAATCAGTGTGGAGTACAGTTAGGAAGTTCATGGATGTGTGGAAATGCACGTCAGATGCAGTGCTGTATGTGAATATATTGTGGCAACTTAAGGGTATAAGAATAGCTAGTAACAATAAAGATGCAATACTAGACAGAGTAATTTGTTCGTTTATATTTTATGAAAAACTTTTGAGTCATCTTCAGTTTCTATTTACTTTCAGCCCTGGCATCCCTGAGGAGATAACTATGAGGAGAAACGTTGCCTAGAATTAGCACAGTAAAAAATTACAATGTACTATTGTATTAAACTTTATCAAATACAGTATGAGGCCGCTGGTGTAAGGGAAGAAGGTGACTCAAGAAGTTTTCAGGATGTCTGTTGGTTAACTTGGAAATGGGATTCTTTGAAGAGTAATAGCTGTAGAACAGATTATTCCCCCCCCCCTTTTTTTTTCTTTTTGTTTTCATTGCTTGCTACTTTCATGTTACCACCTTTGGGATAACAGGTTTATTAATTCTCTTTGAGTGAAACAAGTGCCTTTGATGTAGCTGATTAAAGCTGATTTAAGTGAAGTACTTGTATAATTTAACAGACATCCACAAAGTGAATCAGTAGATAATGGTTTTCTCTTAGTTCCAGTTACTAGAAAAGAAGAACCCATTGCCTCCTTTTTCTCTGCAAAACTTGTAAAACTTAAAACTTCTAGCCAGTTTGCTGAGGTGTAGTGAACCTTGCTTCAGGCATCTAAGTGGGAGGTTCAGCTTCTCTGTGTGGAGGAGGTAGACTTCCCTCAGGGGTCGTTCAAGGTTCTTTTTTTAAAAGGCTACTTGTCTGCATTAACAGATGGAGCAGATGGAGTCTAAAAGTTGGAGTTTGAATGTTCCCTGGTTGTGAATACGAGCAAACTCTTCAAGTAGCTTCTACTTGAAATCACTTGCTAGCTATGTTGTAGTATTTAAAATTATTTTTGGGGATCTTTAAAAGGCTTAAATATTTTCAGTCTATGTACAAAAAATAAGTAGAGGTTGCCCCAGAATAGAGAACATGGCTTATCTAAGTGACAGTCTAAGAATATGACCTTTAAAAAAACAAAACCAAAACCATTTTCTTAAATATTTTTTATTTTTCATGTTTAACTGCCTCCAGTTACTGCTTCTAAGTTGAAAAAAAAAAAAAGTGAAGACATTTTGAAAATGAACTTAACATACTGCAAACGCCAGAATCTGAAAATGATACTTGGTCTAACTTCAGGCCGTTTTATATTATGATCTAGAGCTACTCTGAGGAAATTAAAAAAAAAAAAAAAAAAAACCAAACCAAACAAACCTATCTGTTGAAGAGCAATAGAAACAACTAATGAAGATGGATGTTACTGTTTTAGGAAGTTTTGAGGAAAATCTTGCCATCAAGAGGAATCGGAACTTCCATTTGCTACAGCTCCCCTCATTTATGGTTGGATTTGTCTCTTCTTCCCCTGCAAAGATCAGGGATCAGCTGGCTGATTCAGACCAATTGAAATTCTGTTTTGGTAGGCCTAAGTCATTGTTACACTGAGGGCTCAAATCAAGAGGAGAGGCATAATGGGTGTAACACAGGGTTACACGAAACCTTTTGGAATGCTGTGGATTTTATATTTTGCAGAGTTGTGTTAACACTTGACTAGAGGAGCTTTTTCTATACAGAATATTAGTCCTGAAAATGGAATCTTTTAAGTGCCTTGATAGGAGTTGAGAGATCCTTCGCTACAAATTTTGTGCGTGCTACTGTTTCCCACCCCCCCCTGCTCCTTTTCTCAATATGGTGTCTCATAACAAAGGAGACTAGTTAGAAAAACCTGCAACATTCCATATATGCATCCGCTTAGGAGAGTCATCTCTGCCTATTAAGTCTTAGTAATGTGGAAGGTCCTGTGGTCCAGCAAATGACAGGCTCTAGTGAGTTAGGTGCTGGTTCTTTGCAGCAGCAGGTGTACGATACCTATTACAAAATCTTTGAAAAGAACCATGAGAATATGCTGTAACAGGTAAATGCAGTGCAACAAATAGTGTGTTATTTCTTCTTTCTAATGGGTTTATTTAGGAGAAAGAAGCTAAACAGAAAGGAAAAGGTTGCGTAGTTTTAACTTTTGTTTGGTCTTTTTTCCCTCTCCTACTGTTCTTTGGACTTACAACGGCATGTTGTAGAAGAGATTGATGCTGTACAAAGCTGCTTGGTTTAGAACCAGCTAAGAGAGAACAACCGTGGAGAGTGCTGCGTAGTTCTTTGCGATAAAGAATTGCTGTCCTGAGGATGATAGAGCAGCTAATATAAAGAATCTGGTTAGTACTGGTTCAGTTAATTGAGTATCATTCTGATATTGTAGCATGCAGTACAAATAACGTGAGCTGTATTTTGTTTTCTTTTAATGCGTCCGTTGGCAAAAAAAGGATATGTGTTACCATCTGGTTAGTCTTTGATTTCCCTACTGAAATATTTCTCTGATGCTACTTTTATTAGTTTAGATGTTAAACAAGTGTGACCTGCATTCCCCTTACTGTCCTGCAGCAGGCCTTTTCTAAGTGCTATATAGCATTTAATTTACAATTATCATTTCCTTACCTGATACATTTTGGATGTTAATAGATTTCATCTGCCTTAACTCTTTCCATACATTTCCAGTGAAGAAGGTGTTGAATTGTATTTTTTTTAAAGAAATTCATACCGGAGGACTTCATTCCAGAACTTAAATACGTTCAAACTAACCATACCGACTGATCTGAGATTTCTAGTTTTCTGATAGCGTTATACCTGACCTAACTTGCACCTACTGTAGAACACGTACAAGCTTGTTTACCGTACGGTGTAGCAATAGCTCTCAGCTGCTAACACACTGTGTACTGCTTTTATCACTCATGTGGTTGTGGGAGAAATTATGATAGATTTCATTTGAGGTTAGCATCTTATTTAACCTGAGTTGATTATTACAGGTACTAGGTTACTGCATCTAGACAAAATGGAATTAAACCTGAACTGGCACAATCCCTTAAATGTTGTGGTGAGCACTGCTGTATTTTTTTTTTTCTCCCCAAAATCTGTCCCTGAAAGAAAAGGTATTCTTTTCCTTAAGGAATCATTCCTTTGCTGTTTGGTGTCCCGTCCGTCCCCCCCGCCCCCCTTGGGCAGTACAAACAAAAAAGCTGCAAAGTTTCTGTATGCTTGTCCAGTTCATGGCCCAGATCTAACCTGTGGGAAGATCCTATCTAGCTCCCAAATAATTTTAACCGCTTTTAAGATGTCTGTGTACGTGCAGGCCTTTCAGCTGGCAGACGCTGCGACCATTGTGTGCATTGAGCACGATGTAGAAGTGCCTGAAAACCACCTGTCTCGATGTGGCTTCAAGGCACGAGACAGTCTTGCTGCAAAGTACGTGACACACAAATGCAGCGGCAGCTCTTGCTGTAATCGCTTCCTTGAGTGTCGTTTCAAGGAAAAGGCCTATCGCACCTCTTCCACAAAATGTACATGTTTTACAGTCCTCAGTTTACAACTCGGGCATCCACAGCATTTGACTGCTTACTAATAATAGATTTGAGCAGCGTGTATAAGCACCTTTCTGGATCTTAGCGGGGAATAATCTTCCTGTAACCTTCAGCTACGCTTACCGTTTTCTTAAAGTAAACACTTCTATTTTACAGTGAAAAGGGTTTAATGACGCTGTTCTTTTCAACAAGAAGTCACAGTAACAAGGCATATAGCTCAACTGATGAACAGAATTTCACTGGTGGTACATAACAAAAATTTGTCAAACTTTGTAGATGTGGTATGTCCCGCTGGGACATAAGACAAGGTCTAGGCTGGTTTTAAGACTTCGAAGCACCGTAGCACGTTACAGCGTGATACTTGGCCAATGCGAAAGTTGATCTCCAACTCTGCTGTACTGACTCTGAACTTGTAAATCCTGAACTTACTCTAGAATTGCAGTCTGCAATCCTACCTCCATTTTGTACAGAAGTAGCTCTTCAGGGAAAGACTTCGAGAAAAGCCTTTTCCATTACAGGGAAGGGGGGATTTTCCATCCGTTTTAAGCTAACAAAACCAGGTGTCTGCTGTAATGCTGAGCCTTCTGGCAGCTGAAGAGAAGCTTGAACATCGGAAGCCAATTACCGGTGGCGTGTTTTGCAGTGCGTTACGCGTTGTGTGAACGGGACAGCGGAGCGAGGCCGGCTGGCAGCGCTCGCTGCCGGCAGACCAGCGGCAGCAGCAATGCTGCGAGCTGGAGAGGCTGAGGCAGCGTAAGAGGTCAGAGCGTTTAATTGTACTTCTGCTGGGTTTCGGGCTTTTGGAGGGGGACGAGACTCACCCACGTGGCCCCTCCCCACGCGGGGCGCCGCGCCGCTGCTGCAGCCCCCACCG